GGGATTTTGACTACGAGGACAGAGAGAATTCTCGTTATGACAGAACACCACACAGTAAGAATCTGTGTCTTTCTCCATCCTCGTTTTTGCAGGTTCTCTAAAAATTGGATCCATCATGAGCTTACGACATGCTGGGGGAAGACTGGTGGGGAGAGAAGGGTGAGAACAACAGCCACAGCAGCAGCAACCGCCTCCACGTCGGTGGCTTCCAGACATGGTACGAAGCTTCTTGAAGGCTTTAGTTCTAACATTCTTATTTAATCAGCAAAACAACCTTTCCTAGTACCCAGTTCTTATAACGAATGAGTCATTTGCATAATAATTTGTCCTCCCTAGCTACGAGCTCTGGGAAGACAGGAACTCTGCATTTCCCTGTACCTTCAGTGCCCAGTCCATACCTGGCACTTAATATATGGAAGGCTTGCTTTTGCCTGAATGCCTTACTCTATGCTCTATGAGGTACATACTGTTACCCGATTTTCTGATGAGGACCCCAAGGCTCACACAACTTAGTAGAGGAGTTTACCAACCTAAATAAACCCAACCTGTGCTTCTCATCCAACCATTCCATCTTCTGTCCATCAATGAAGGAAAAGGGAAATAAAATTGAGGTCCAGAGGAGGGAGCTGCGGCTGCCATACACGTCCTACACCCAACCAATGAGACTGGGGGAGACAGGAACTCTGTGTTTTCGAGCAATACCCACCCTGTAAAATATTAACCAAGGAGCTGGGCAGGAGGGGAAGAGAAACCCAAACAAATGTCCTATTTACAGAGTCTGGAAGGTTTCTAGGAGGGAGTAGATCATAGGACAGAGATTGGGGGCAGGAGACTGCTATGAGAGAAGTCAGGCAATATGCTAGGAGATTCCTGGGGACAGAGGTGCAATTGAGGGTCAGAAAGCATCCCGAGAAGTTGCCCAGCCTGAAGAGTCTGCAGAGACCAAACCTATGGGTGGGTAATGCTAGGAAGAGGCAGAAACAGAACAAGAGAAGAAAGCACATTACTACTACTCAGTGTGTGCTGGTGCCACCTGGAGACAGAAAGGCCTCAAGATGCTGGGAGGGCTACGAGTCAGAGTCTGGGTTCTCTTCTTGCAAACTTAATAATCATATGCACACTAAACACCAGATATGTACAGAGAACTGTGCAAAGTATTCAACATGCATTAATTCATTGGATTCTCTCAACAATCACAGGAGGCATGGGGTTATTATAATCTACAACTTACAAATGAAGCTAAGTTATTGGACATGAACATATGTATAAATGCATGGATATATAACTTTACACAAATATGCATATATGCATTTATTAGTTAGACAGTGTTTCAAGCTTTACATGCATAATCTTATTTAAGCCACACATTACCTATGAGGGGTACATCATTATTTTGTTTTCCAGATGAAGGTACCAGGTTCAAAGATATGCAGTGACTTGCCCAAGGTCCCCCATTAAGTGCTTAACTCTAATGTTTACCAGTCGGTTATGGGTAGAAATCTTTTCTCCAAGCCTCAGCCTTCCCTTCTGTAGCTCCACATCTCCTTGGTGGTGGTGGTGGAGTTGGTTCCGACTCATAGCGACCCTGTACAGGGTTTCTGAGGCTGTAAATCTTTACGGGAGCAGAAAGCCTCCTCTTTCTCCTGTGGAACAGCTGGTAGTTTCAAACTGCTGACCTTGCGGTTTGCAGCCCAATTTGTAACCACTACACTACCAGAGATCCTTACATCTATGAATGTCCTTGAGCCTGAGTACACATGACCAGGCATGTATTACTTTTTTGGCCACAAGTCTGAATGCTTCTTGAGGACCAGGACCCTGTATGAGCCACAGGTCTCTGTGACATATTAAGTGTATGACTGGTTAGTTGCAGGTGACAGAATCTCAGCTCTGCAAGGTCCCAGGCAGTATTTATCAGCCTCAAAATTCATCAGAGTCCTTATGTGTTTGTGAACAGTACTTGCCTCATCAGGTTTCCAAGGAGATGCCATAAAATGGGGGAAAAGTGGTAGCCAATTATTACAAAGAAGAACGATGTTCCAAGACTAATGCTTGGAGAGACGCTTCTGCTCATTTCAGAAGGTAAAAAACAGTCCTCTGTCTGGTAGGCCCCAACAATGTGTCTGCAAAATCCTAGTGGCGAAAGGATAACCAGAACTGTTCTTTCCCTTTGTAGAGACCTTTTAGATTGTATTGAATCCTTTCACAACCCAGGTCTCATTTTTTTCTCCTAGTATCCTTCAGTGTAGTGGTTACGAATCGGGCTGCGAACCACAAGGTCAGCAGTTTGAAACTATCAGCTGCTCGGCGGGAGAAAGATGAGGCGTTCTGCTCCCGTAAAGATTTACAGACTCAGAAACCCTGTACAGGGTCGCTATAGGTCGGAACCAACTTGACGGCACTTAACAACAACAACATCATCCTTCAGAGTTGCCAGGGAGAAGGTGATTGTTCTTAGTGTATACACAGGAAACTGAGGCCCAGAGAGAAGATGGGGCATGCACAAAGTTACATAATGAGACAGCAGCAGAGCTAGATGGCTAGGTCAGGGTTCTAGCCTCACAAGCTGCTCTAATATAATGGTTCTTGGCATTTAAGTGCTTTGACTTTGACTTACATTTTCAAATCCTCTGGCCCAGCTTCTGTGCTCTGCCTATAACCAGGCCTGAGTGAGGTAGTTTAAGCTTGGGAGTATGAGGAGGGAGATCAACCACTACTCTGCTCTGAAAGGGTAGGCTACAAAATACCGGTCTCTGTGAGGACTTTCCAAAAAATCAATGGTCTTTCACTTCCACATCTAGGCTCCACATACACTGCCTTTGTCTCTGAATCAAATTTATTTCAGCACCATTATTTTGCCTACTCTATGTGGCAGAATGTGGATTTGCTGGGCTCTGTTTAAAAAAAAAAAAATCCCCAACGCCTTCTACTGGCATCAAATAAGCCAGGACCAAGCTATCATTCTCCCCAGGAAATATGCAACCACTCTATTACCACTGAGAGGTGTCAGCAAGTTCCCACCTTATCTCTCTCACCAGTCCCCCAAATTCTATTAGCTCAGGGAGACAACCAGAGCTGCCAGCTGGTGCTCAACAGAGGCAGATACACATGCAAACAGTTCTTAATCATCATTATTACCATCATGCTCTAGATTTCCATATATTGCCACTGTGTACCAAACACTGTGCTAAGTAACTCAGTACAAGATCTCATTTAATCCAACATCCCTGTTTTACAGATGAGGATCCTGAGATAGAGAAAAGTCTCTTGCCCAAGTTCCCATGATTAGGAAGCAGAGAGACAACGTGATGGAACATGGTGCTCTCTTGAGCCTTTCTTTCCATCAATGGCCATTAAACCCTCTGTTGTCAAGTTGATTCTGCCTCATGGTGACGCTACAGGGCAGAGCAGAACTGCCCATAAGATTTCCTAGGCTGAAAGTCCTGGTGCAGTGCTGTGGGTTAGCGTGCTGGACTGCAATAGCAAGGTTGGCTGTTCAAGCGCACTAGCTACTCCTCAGAATCTCTACACAGGGTCACTATGGGTCAGAACCAACTCGATGGCACTTGACAACAACAACATATCTTTATGGAAGCTGACTACCTCATCTTTCTCCCTCAGAGTAGCCAGCTGGTAGATTCAAGCTGCCAACCTTTTGGCTAACAATGCAGTACTTAATCCACTGTATCACCAGGGATTCTCAATGGTCATTACAAAGTTGGAAAACAGGTACCCACAATACAAAACCAGTGCACAATGGCTATTTGTCATCTAAAACAAATCTACATTTTCTCTAACGACCAGTCGCTTCAGCAAGTTAGTGAAATTATCAAAGGGTATCTTATTACACACTCCATGACCCTGCATCACACAGTCCCTGACATCCCCACCATTATTTGGCCCCCACAGTTCTCTGACCACCTTGCTGACTACGCTTCCCTTCCTTCATCCTACTTCAGTCCTGTTGCCTTCTTGCTGTTTCTACAAATCATCAAATATACTACTTCCTCAGGATCTTTGCACTTGCTATGTCCTCTAGCCAGAATGTTCTGCCATGCGAGTGCTGCAGGGCTCATTCCTTCAGGTCTGTTTAAAAATCACCTTAGAGAAATCCCTGGTGATCACCCTCTATAAAAAGGCAACCACCACTTTCTAGCCTTCACCATGGGCCTTCCCTGCTTTATTTGTCTCTAAAGCACTTGTTACCACGAATTATACTATATTTATTATTTGCTGAGTGAATGAATGAACTAAAGCAGAGAGGCCCTTCACCCCTGGTAACCACCTGCTCTATGTAAGGCCTCCTGAGACCTTTTTCAAGGTTGTCTCCCATGCTCTTTCTAACTCGTTTAAACCTTGAAGAGAAATATTCTGTGATAAAGATCATATAGCTTTAATTTTCCCACATCTCAAGCATCTTCTTCCCCCATCAAAAATAAAACCTAAATGCACTAACAAGCATAAGCAAAGACTGAAAATCTTGGTCTTCTTAAGCTTATGATCAGACAAGTCAAATTCCACTTACAGAGCTGGAGTGGCCAGAAAAGGCAGTTTAGCTTTCAACTCACCTATCTGGCTCCCTTGGCCCTAAGGTTACAACCCCACCCCAACTCCTTACCACTCTGTTAGACTTCCTTGCAACTTGTCATCCTTTTTAGGAGCCGAACCCAAATTCAAGCTGTCCCTGAGCTTTTAAGCACAGCTCTAGGGGTAACTTAAGCTCATCCAACAGGTAGGAGGCGCAGAGGCTGACCCTTTTCTGTCCTACATCGATCCCCCATCTTGGAGGGGCATCTGCCAGGGCGTCAATTTCGTTCTGGAGGAAAGGAGCTTGGTTATAAAGGCACGTTTCTCAAACCAGGGAGCCAGGTGTGGAAAAGGCAGCTCTCCTGTTGTCGGCCTAGATGGACATATGCAAGGGGATGCAGCGGCGGTGCTGAGGCCTCAGAGGCAGGAGAGAAGTGGGGAGGACGCGAGTACATCCCTAGGCTAGAACCTACCCGGGGATGGGGCTGCCTTCAGCGTTGGGGAGCAGATGAAATGCTTCGTTGGCGAAGAGGAGCGGAGAATGGGACCCGTGAGAATCCGGGGCCAGATCTCAGGAGGCGAGAGATCTCGTCAGGCTAGGGCCGGGGTCCAGAGCGGACTGGGGTCGGCAGGGCGGGGCTTGGGATCGTGGGGACTGGAATCTCGGGCAGGAGGGCGTCGCGTCAGGGAACCCGGTGGCCGTTACCTTGCCCTTAGGGCTGCCTGTGGAACTGAAGGCCGCCGGGTGCTGGCTCCCGGGCCCAGCCCCTCCCCCGATTCGGCTCCTAAGGCTCAGAGCCTGCAGCTACCGCCGCCTCCGCTGTCAACAAACCCCGGGCGCGTCACTTCCGGGGCCGCCCCTTAGCAACAGCGATCGGGTTCCGCTGAGGGGTCCCGGGCGAACGCTGCTGGCGACGATAGGACGTTCCGGGCTGCCGGGCTGCATTTTTTCCCGGGCATAGCCTGGTCTCGGGATGAAAGATGCGGAAGGTTGGGGCCCCACCACGGCCCAGAGCACCTGGTCTCCAGGGGCCTCTTGTTGGCCTCTGGGGGGTCCGCTAGGAAAACACTCAAGTTCCGTTCCCGCTTTTATCCTGCCCTTAACCTAAGTCAACCCAGGCCGCCTTCAGAGATACCCCCTACATAAAGCAGCCTAAAGAACATCCCTTCATGGACGTTCCATAGGTATCCAGTGTCAGATTACACAATAAACAAGAAAAGCATGGACTTGCTTGTCCTTATTTATCAGTAGTGCTGGTGGCTTAGTGGGTTATGCTTTTAGCTGTTAAACGCTCCAAGGGAGAAATATAAAGATGAGGCTTTCTGCTCCCATAGAGAATTACAGCCTCAGAAACCCTATACGTTTGTCACTATGAAACAAAAACGACTCGATGAAAATCTCAATTTCACATTTTTTCATCACAAAGATTCTGCCTCTGGGTATGGCTGACATCTCTTGCTCCCAACCATACAGAATAAAAGCCTCATGTCAAATTTAGACTCTCTAACAGGACAGATTACCCAATAAGCAAGGTAAACATGGACTTAAATTTACTCGCTATTTAGTGAAGTCTGCCCTGGGTATCTCACACACATCCAAAACACGATGATCATCTTACCCCCAAACCGGCACTACATGTCCATCACAGGCACCCCAGACTGTTAGATGAGAAACAGGGAGTTGGCCATGGCGCCTGCATTTCTCTCAGCCTCTTGTCCAGTCTGAGTCCTAAGGATCTTTTAGACAGTTTCTTGTCACTACTCCTTGTAATGCCCAACTTCTGTTGTTGTTGTTAAGTGCTATCGAGTTGGTTCCTGTTGTTAGGTGCCATCAAATTCTGACTCTTAGCAGCCCTATGTATGATAGAATGAAACATTGCCAGGTCCTGTACCATCCTCACATTCATTCCTATGTTTGAGCTCATTGTTGCAACCACTATGTCAATCCATCTTGTTGAGGGTTTTCCTCTTTTTTGCTGACGCTTTACTTCATGATGTCTTATTCCAGGGACTGGTCCTTCCTGAAAACATGTCACAAGTATGTAAGATGAAATTGCACCAGCCTAGCTTTTAGGAAGCATTCTGTCTATGCTTCTTCCAAGACAGATTTGTTTTTCTGGAGCTCTGGTAGCGTAGTGGTTACGAATCGGGCTGCGAACCTTAAGGTCAGCGGTTCGAAACTACCAGCCGCTCCGCGGGAGAAAGATGAGGCTTTCTACTCCCGTAAAGATTTACACCCTTGGAAACCCTGTACAGGGTCGCTATGGGTCAGACCCGACTCGATGGCACTTAACAACAACAACAACATAGTATGTATATTCAATATTATTCACCAACATTACAATTCAAAGGTATCCATTATTTGGTCTTTCTTATTCATTGTCTAGCTTTTATATTCATATAACGTGATTGAAAATATCATGGCTTGGGTCAGGAGCACCTTAGTCAATAAGTTATTGAAAGTTGTAGTTTAGGATCTTTATCAGTAAATGCTTCAAGTCCTCTTTGATTTGAGCAAGAAAGGTTGTGTCATCTGCATATGGAAGGTTGTTAAGGAATCTTCCTCTAATCCTAATGCTGAATTCTTCACACAGTCCAGCTTCTTGTATTATCTGCTCAGCGTACAGATTTAATAAATGTAGTGAAAGAATAGAATACAACCCAACACATACCTTTTCCTCATTTTCTTCCCTTATCTGTGGAAGAAAATGAAGCTTTCTGTTCTGGCAAAGACACACAGCCTCGGAAACCCTGTACAGGGTTGCTATGAGTTGTAAACGACTCAACAGCATTTAACCTCTTGTTCTCATCAAACGACTGCATGTTGGTTGACATACAGGTTCCACATGAGCACAACAAACTTAACTGTTTTGCCATACCCAGTCTTCCCAATGTTATTTGTAATTTGTTTATGATCCACACAATCAAATATCTTTGTATAGTCAATGAACCAGATAAACATCTTTCTGGTATATTCTGCTTTCAGCCAACATCCATTTGAATTCAGCATTGATATCTATCATTCTACTGCAAACATTTTTTGAATTATCTTCAGCAAAATTTTACTTGCATGTGGTATTTATGATATTGTTCAATAATTTCCTTATTCTGTTGGGCCACCTTTCTTTATTATATGCACGAATATGAATCTCTTTCAGTCAGTTGTCCAAGTAGCTCGTATAGACATAGACAAATAAGCCCTTGCAGTACTGCATCCATTTATTGAAACATTTCCATTGGTATTTCATCAGTTCCTGGAGCTTTGTTGCTTTGTTTTTAAAAAATGCTTTCATTTGGACTTTCTTCAATGCCATTTTTTTTTTTTTTACCTTTTATTGTGAATTGAATGAAGGTTTACATACAAAATCATCAATTTTACTTTCAACAAATCATACACTTTGTTTCATCTCAATGATTGTAACCCCCTCCATGAAACAACAGTTATCCTGTTTCCTCCCTGTGGTTCCCATTTCCATTCCACCCAACTTTCCACCCCTTATCAACTTTGTCCTTAGGTAAACATTGCCCTTTTAATTTTGAATGATTGACCATTCCATGGTGAGCATCCCTTACTAGTGTTGTTTTCCCCCTATATACTTACCTACTACTTGGCTGAAAATTGGGCCATAAGGGTAAGTTCCTTTCCAGACCTAAAGGGCCACATAGTCTCAGGTTTTTCCAGTCTCTGTCTTTCTGACCCATAAGCCTGGTCTTCTTCTTCTTTTTATAATTTTAAGTTTTGTTCCACATGTTCACATTTTCTCATACTCTATCTAGGACCTTCTAATGTGATCCCTTTCAGAGTAGTTGGTAGTAGTAGCCGGGTTCCATCTAGTTCTTATGGTCTCAGAGTCATGGAGACTGATGTTCACGTGTTCCATTAGTCCATTGAACTAGTTGATTTCAAGAATCTTCAGCTTTCATCACTCTTCTTTCTTCTGTACATGGGGAGACCAATAATTGCACTTTAGATGGCTACTCATGAACTTTTTTTTTTTTTTTTTTTTCCTGGAGCAACAGAAAGTTTTATTCATTGCTGGTAGAAATGCAATATACAGCCATTTTGAAACATTGCCTGGAAGACAATGAAAACATACGTTTTCACAAGTGAACTGAAAACTTACGTTCACACAAAAACCTTCACACAAATGTTTATAGCAGCCTTACTCATAATTGGCAAAAATTGGAAGCAACCAAGATGTCCTTCAGTAGGTGAATGGATACATCCAGATGATTTACAAGAAAAGAGTTATCAGATTACAAAAAAACATGGAGGCAGCGCAACTGCATATTACTAGTGAAAAATGCCAGTTTGAAACAGCTACATACTCTGTGATTCCAATTATATGACATTCTGGAAAATGTATAACTATTGAGCCAGTAAAACCATCAGTGGTTGCCAGGAACTCAAGAAAGGGAGGGGAGAAACTGAATAAGGCAAAGCACAGGACGTTTTAAGGGCAGTGAAACTATTCTGCATGATGTCATAAGGGTGGATACATGACATCATGTGTTTGTCAAACCTTTAGAACTGTACAACAAGAATGAACCTTAGTGTAAATTATGGACCTCTGTCAATGTATCAATATTGGCTCATTAATTGTAACAAATGTACCACACACCAATGCAAAAACAAACAACATACTGCCATCGAGTCAATTCTGACTCAGCAACTCTAGAAAGGCTGTTGAGACTATAAACCTTTACGGAGTTGACAGCCTCATCTTTCTCCCTAGGAGCTGCTGGTGGGTTTGAATCTTGAAACTTGAAGTTAGCAGTAGGAGAAACTGTGTATAGGGAAAGAAGTTCTGGTGATAACATGGGTTGAGCATTGGGCTGCTAACTGAAAGATCAGTGGTTCAAACCCACCAGTTGTTCTGCTGGAGAAAGATTACTCATGAACTTTTAAGATCTCAAATGCTACTCACCAAAGTAGAATGTAGAACATTGCCTTTATGGACTATGTTATACCAATTGGCCATCATGTCACTGAGACTATGGTCCTGAGTCCAGGCCAGCAACTCATTACCTTAAGAAACTTGATACTATCTAAGAAGTTTTCATCATTTTGCCCACTGTATGCACCATAACATTCATAGTTATATTTGCAGCAAATGTAAATACCCATATACAAATATCCTCTCAAACCATTATATATATTTGTGGGTATACTCCCGCTCTTTCTCCCATACCTGTTCAGCTTGTGTATCTGTCCATGTATCTAATCTCAGAACACTGTTGTTCCAAGATTGTGTATATCACATTTATTTACTTCTATCCCCTTAGCCTTTGCATACCTTTCCTATTCTTCACCTGTCTTCATTATTCTTCTGCCAACCTCCCTCTTCTTATATGTTGCTCTCCTCCCTGTCACCTGAGTTAATGTGTCTACCCTCTAGCCAATGAATTACTTTCCTTTCCTTCTTACCTCTGAAAACCATCAAAGAATGCTTCTTTTAGCATGAATACCTTTTGAATTTTTACAATAGTAGTCTCATACAATATTTGTCCTTTTGTAATTGACTAATTCCACTCAACATAATGTCCTCCAGGTTCATCCATGTTATAAGGTGTTTCACAGATTCATCTTTATTCTTCACCATTGCATAGCATTCCATTGTGTTTATACACCAAAGTTTGTTTATTCCTTCTTCCATTGATGAGCATTTAGGCTGTCTTCATCTGTTTGTTATTGTGAACAGTGCTGCAATGAACATACTAAGTGCCATCAAGTGGTTCTGACTCATATTGACCCTACATAGGGTTTCTGAGGAGTAGCTGGTGGGTTTGAACTGCCGATCTTGTGTTTCACAATCCAGTGCTTGTCCTACAGCACCACAC